GCCATTCGTGTCTGCTAAAAAATGAACTGAGTATTTTGATGTAGCGTTATCCTTTTATAGGGTTTCAGTTGTTTAGGCAGTGAAAAGTGTTTTCCCCAAATTGTGTTGCTTTCTCGTCCTCGCATCCTGAGCTATGTTCAGAAATATGGTCTCAAACACAACTGACCACTGCGTTGTAACGATTGCAAACACCCACGCAATTCAAGCCCACATGTCAACTGGACACGGTAAAACATTATAGATAGATAGAGTGTGTGGACAGCGGGGAGTAAGCCACAGAGAGTGTGGGGGAGAGAGACAGAGAGAGTGGGAGAGAGAGTGTGAGAGGGAGACAGAGAGTGTGGGAGAGAGAGGCAGAGAGTGTGGGAGAGAGAGTGTGAGAGAGAGACAGAGAGTGTGGGAGAGAGTGTGTGAGAGAGAGACAGAGAGTGTGGGAGAGAGAGTGTGAGAGAGACACAGAGAGAGTGTGAGAGAGAGACACAGAGAGTGTGAGAGAGAGACACAGAGAGTGTGGGAGAGAGACAGAGAGTGTGGGAGAGAGACACAGAGAGTGTGGGAGAGAGACGCAGAGAGCGTGACAGTGTGCGCGTGAGAATGTAAGAAAGGTTAAGAATTTGAGAGACAGAGAGACTACGAGAGACAGACTTAATTAGATAAAGGGTGTGTGAGAGGCAGAATTATTGAGAGAATATAAGAGCGCGTGAGAAAGGCATAGAGAAGTAATAGATTTAGAGTGTGAGAAATAATGTTACTGACTGAAATAGAGTGAGCGAGGATAACACAGAGTTGGATTGTGAGAAAAAAAAAGAGAGAATGAGATAAAGGGAGCAACAGTCGCAGAGATATGGTAGGCAAAGCTCAGTACCTGCAAGACGTGGAGTCCGTCAATGTAACTGGTCATATATTTCATCCAGGCTTGCGCCAAGTCGACATGGTCACGGCTGATGTTCACTGATCCTGAACCATTGCTGAAGATCATTTCCCTGAATTTATTGAGCCGTGATGTCATGTTTTGGAACGCTGGCTGTTGAAGACGCCCTAAGACCATGGCAGAAAACTTTGACGCTTCAGCCAGTGACTTCCTGCCGATGACGACGTTGGCAATGTAAGCGTTCGAGTTCACATCGCTGATATGGCCTGCAATAGAATTACTTCACTCAAGGGTTGTTATACATTTCATATTATTTCCAAAATATTAAAGACGAGAGGTTCTGGCAGGTGCTCGAAGCTTAGAGTAAAGGCAAGACGGACGTTTGGTCAGAATGCTACTGGCACCATTAATATCGGAACTCTTCGCTGGCTGCTGAAGACGGGGACGGGGCTTTTATGGGAATGCTCCGATTGCTGTGACGTCGGTTCTTGGATCAACTCAACTCAGCTTATCTTAGTAATGCTTCTTCCATCTGATGTTATCCATGTGCCCTACAAATGTATCATCGTCATCATGTAGTAGGTCCTTTGCAGAACGTCGCTCTCATCACGTCTGCATGAAAAAAACTCGGTCTCTGGCCAGCTTTCCAGCCCCCTGTATTTTCCCTCTTAAGTAGTCACTTATATCCTGTGCCCATCTTCCTATTGGTCGGCCCTTGCCCCTCCTTCCTGGTACCTTGCCTTCTGCTATTAAAAAATTTTTATCCGTTGTGGCGCTTGATATGACCAAAATATTTCAGCTTCCGAGACAGGACGCTGTTTATTAGCCATTCTTCCTTGCTCAGATTTCAAGATGTCAGTATTTCTCCTCTTCTGGGAATTTTTCTAAAGCATTTCAGTTCAAAAGCCCATATTCTCTTTCTTAAGGACTGGGAAACATTCTCCATTGCTATTTATTATAGAGCCTACAAATGTATAAGGTTAGTTGTGTATCCTTTACAAGACGTTGCAGAACCAACCCCAACAGCCCCTGGCTGTTGTGTGGTTTTTCTAGGCAAATTTACATCCAGTAGTTTGCCATTGATTTCTAAACTGTCGGCTTTCTTGATACCACTGTCAAAACCAACGCCCGATCGAACCCGGAATCCTGGCATTACGAAGCTTTCGCATCGAATTCTACAAACGTATAGTAAAAGAATAATGCATTTGTGGGTAAAAATATGTATAGACATCTGCAGATTGTGAAGTACTTAGCTAAAGCTTATTTGGCCTATATCCACATCCAGTATTAAAGGGACCAATGTGCTAGAATGTCTTTACGGACAACAAGTATCCCGACTGTTAAGGAGTAATGTTAGGTAATCGATAAATTATCCTCACTGCACATCGGAAAAGCCCATGAACGCTCAGATGCTATCTTCATTTTGGCCCTCATCGTGTTGCGACTGTTAACACCAGTTCTATGTTGGTTTATTATCATTCTTTGACTATATGTATAGCGTTCAAACCGCAAACTATAAGTGTTTGTTTTATTCTCTAGCTTATTCCTTTTTTTTTTTTTTTTTTTTTTTTTTGGTAAGATGGGGCAATAGACAGATTTTGGAGTACTGACGGGACGATCGGGAAAAAACTGGATTGTTCCGGTGAAAACGGGACACATGATCGCCCTATATATAAACATAAACATGTGCATACCCCCCCCCCCTTTTCCCTCCACCCAACCCCACACACAAACACACACACAAACACACACACCCATGTGCATATTCACTTGAAGACTGACCTCTGGAAAAAAAGATGGCCCCTCTTGCTCTCTCCTGGCCAGTGTTTTCGGTACCTATGGCCAATTCTTCAAAAGCTGCTAAATCTGGCCAGAATGTACCCACTGTCACAGAATGTAGTATAGTCTTCATCCACTGCAGCAGAAACGCGTTGAGATTGCTGAAAAGATATAAAGATTGCTTAATTTAAAAAAAAAATTGCCTATTACTAACCCAAGAATAATTAAAATTTATTTATCTGTGCTCACCCTAATAACTATCACCATCACCCTCATAATTATCATCATTATCATCCCCACCCTCATTACTATCATCATCACCTTCATCGCTATCATCATTACCCTAATCATGTGTTACCGACCAGCGAAAGTAGTTCCATAGTTCATCATCTTTCAAGATTACCAGTCTAGGATCACTTCTATGTTCTTGCCTGAATATGCTATGTGGCCAATGGCGCAGGAGGGTGTCGCGAGCCCACGTGGGTAAATACACTGATATAGTGAGGGTGTGGGTTTGAACCTTAACAGTAAGTCTATTAACTGTCAGTCAAGACTGTACAAAACTTGTTTATATTCCCACGGCTCATTCTCCTGGTCAATCAAGCTGGTCAAAACTAATAGACAAAGTCACACCTCTCGTCCCTTCTTCCGCCTGCCAATTGTTTGCTAACGCCTCCACCAGACCATGTCAATATTGGCGATCTGGCCGGCAATAAAGTTGGGTAACCTCAGGGGGAGATAATTACAATTAGCCTGGGTTATCTGCTCCTAAAGGTCTGACTAGGAGATAATTATCTGACAACCAACAGATGGTGTGCAAATCTCCAGCCGGTAAGTCTGAGCTAGTCAGTCTCACTGGCGTCACAAAGACTACCTTACCACTTTACACCTGGGAAAGAGTCTCAGTGTTTGATATGACCAACAGTCCAGGAGAATTAAATGTTTGTTCGGGTCGCCTTACTTAGATTAAGGATGTATCCAAAACCATATTTTTCTGTATACTTTAAAATACATACAAATAAAAGTAGTTTGAGGAAAGAAATTCTGAAGTCACCGAGCGTATCGTCACAGATATCGTCAGGCCACTCGGGTGTCATCACTGGAGGTGGGGGTGGTGACAAAATATGTGTTTTTTAATTAACGAACATATATTGTGCGCGTCGGCTCTGTGGCTAAGTCGATGCGAACACTTCGCTTCGTAATGCCGGGATGCCGGGTTCGATCCCAGCTGCGGGCAATCCGCATTGCGTTGGTTTCGACAGTGGTATCAAGAAAGCCGACCGTCCAGAAAGCAATGGCAAACTACTGGACGTAAATTTGCCTAGAGAAACACACAACAGCCAGGGGCTGTTAGGGTTGGTTCTGCAACGTCCTGTAGAGGATACGAAACAACCTTTTTTTTATATTGTGCGCCTGGCGGAAGAGGGGTGACAGGAAATGTTCCGCACCGGGTATCCCTTGACCTTGCTATGTCCCTGTGTGTGGCAAACTTATTTAGTGATGGGCGGATGATGTCGGAGTCTGTTTCTGCTTTGAGTTAACGATGTGTGCACGCAGGACATAAAGGATAATCTTCTTGAGAAACGGAACGTGATGCCACTGGGGCAGATTATAAAGGGAATAGGGACAAAAAGAGGGAGATTAGAAAGAGGGATAGGGACAAACGGGGGAGATTGGAAAGGGGGATACGGACATGCAGGGGGAGATTAGAAAGAGGGATAGGTACAAACAGGGGAGATTAAGAAGGGAATACTGCCCCCCCCCCCCCGCGCCGCCCAAAGGAGGTGGGGAGGGGGGTAATGATTGCAGACATGTAACGAGTTGAGTGTCTGAGAAGAAACGTGTCTAATACGTGTACACGCGATGGCAGCAATGGTTCTGAAGTCGCGTGCACTTTTGTTGCAGATTCTGGCTCTACTTCGAACGGCATCATAAAATGGCGGCCATAATATGATGCCACATTCTGGTCATAATATATCCAAAAATATCCGAACAGTGTTCAGGCATATCTAAAATACGGACTTTCTGCCAAGGAACAAATAGTGGCAAAACTAGGATTACTTGACAATCAATATTAACATTGCACACGGTAGTAGCAGACGATAAATACCGACCGTTGACAATTTCGAGCGTTTCTGCAGACGATACTAGCAGACGATTTTAGCGACCGTTGACAATTTCGAGACATAACAGACAATGAAAGCGATTAGCAATACTGTTCTTCCGATTGAGGATTTAGCAGCGGTAGATGTCAGACTTGTCGGCATGCACAAAACGCGATTAAACTCATCGCCAAGCGTATCCCTCGCACCGCTACGCGCGGCGCTAAACTAGACTAGGTGCCTGAGACTCACGAGTAAAGTATTTGGAGGAAGTTGCAGGAGATGCGGTAGCTGCTGCTCGTGAGTCCCAGCCATCTAGTTTAATCCCCATCCGCGCCGCGCGTAGCGGCCGTGAAGCACACTCGCAGAAGAAGGTCCGCTAGTAACATATCGCTGAGACCCTGTTAGAGCATTTGTTTCGTTATACGCAGCCGGCATATTTTTAATAGAACTGAGCCCCATTCGGATATTTTTGGATATTTTATGGCCAGAATGTGGCCAATTTGGCTCTCCTTCGAACGGCATCATATTATGGCCGCCATTTTATGATGCCGTTCGAAGGAGAGCCCAGATTCTTATAAACGCGAGCTAGTCTTGCTGGTCGCACTCGACAATACCATCGGCTGGGATTCTCTTCCCTATCTTTAACCTGAGCGCTGTCCCCGTGTGAGTTCCGGGGGCCTATTATAAGGAAAAAAGAAGGGACCCATTGCCTACCCAAAAGCATGTCGTAAGAGTCGACTAAATGGGAGCTTCCTTCGAAGTCGGAGTGCATCTGACTGAAAGGCAAGGAACCAACAGTCTGCATACAAATTATTCAAATCTGTCAAATTGATGCACACGCAAACCTCAGGTTCTGGAAAAAGACTGCAGTCAAGAAGTGGACGAACAACCAGAACTTTCCGCCAGAGTTTACAGCTGGTGAACGCGAAGAAGAGGAAGAAACCTGAGCGGTGGACTTCATCCAAAATGCTCAGCTTGTATACTTAGTCTGGTAGTAGTCTGGTAGTCTTAGTTTCAGCTTCATAGCAAACGTCTGTGCCAACGAAAAACACACAGAATGTTTATCACAGTATTGTATTGTATTCAGTTTGTATACGTAGTCCCTAATGCTGTTGTACCTTTGACCGTGATTTTGTATGCTATCAGGTAAGGGTCGGTCATATTGTCTTTCGAGATTATGTTCTATTGGGAATAGACTATCGACTAGATCGACGGGAAAGTGCCAATATAAGCTGGTAGTACTTATTTAAACAGCATTATCATGT